GACCTGAGCCACTGTGTCTGGCCCCTACTTTTCTCTCTTTTTTTAAGATTTTGCAAATGCTATTACAAGCGTATTAAAACCATAACATAGTTCTCCCCCTATACTCAGTCAATCAATAGTAGATTCAGTACATCTGATCTATGGTGAAGTAAATATCTCTGCAGATTTTACATTATTTATATTCACAGTTTACTTAAAACCCTAAAGAGAAGGATCCCATCTAAGTGTGAGTGAGGTAATACTAAATTCATCACTCTCTTGTCAGGATTTCTCCGGCTTTGCTGCCTTCTTCACATGAGGTTCAGTAACTAAGATGTTACATTCATGTGAAGTTCAGTAACTAAGATGTTATATTCACATCCAGTTCAGTAACTAAGATGTTGCATTCACATCAGGTTTAGTAACTAAGATGTTATGTTCACATTGAACTTCCCAATAAACAGCAACTAGGTCTCATAAAACGACTTTTTTGCTCTAATTCCCACATGAATGCAGATATATATGTCCTTATTTTGGGAGATAATTACTTTTAGACTTGTTCTATAATATAGTGGTTATATGGTAAAAGTGGTATAAAAATGTATTTCCATTATCATTCATTCTAGGAAACTTTATGAAATAAGTTTTCTCAATTGACTACACTCAATTTGAGATGTGACAATTGGAAAAACAGGCTAAAAGTATGGCATATATGTGATGCCTTTGCATTTAAACACATCTGCATAAAACTCAGGTTATTTATGCACTCTTGAAAACTTTTGGATTTTAAACATAAACTGTGAGCTTACCAGGAAATGAGAAGAAGTAAGCAAACAAAAGATCTAGTAAAGTACTAAGTTTAAAAGAGAGAAAATATTGGCAAGATCTGTCACTATGCTCATCTTTCTTGAATGAGATTGGTGACATTAATTATTAATACAACTCAGTATTTTTTAGATAATAGACAAACATTTTTGAAAAACTCGTTGAAACTGCTAGGTAAGCATTGATACACACATTTTTTACTGAGTATGTAATTTCAGATATGTGTTTACATACACATTTTGGCTCTGGATATTTAATGTGCCAAGTTTTAGAAATCATCAATATACAATAGACAAGTTTATATGGACTTGATTTTGTCGTATCACTTCCACAAGGAGTTAGTCAAGTGTATAATCAATCCAACTTTGCACTATTTACTTGTAGGAAAGCAAAACCACATTAAAATACAACATCAAACCTATTTATATTTTACTGAGATTTCTCATTTACTCTAAGAGATTTGGATGCTTAATTAAGTTATACACCCCTTATTGCTGGAGGAATTTAACCAAAAGCATCAAATGAAAGAGACTTGTTTTTCTCCCTTACTTAGAGGTTATAATATGTTATAATTCCAGATTTACACACTATTTGATAACAGAGCAATTTCAGCCATTCTGTACAGATATCTCAGACAATTGGGGCAAATCGTTTCTCTTTGCCCTGGCCTGATGTAGCTCCTTGAAATTTTAAGCAAACTGCCCTAAAGGAGAACCTCCATTCTGCCCTAGAGGCAGTAAATATGCAAATCAGAGAGTGCCTAGCAATTTTAAATGTGCAAATTCAAAACTGCACTTTGTGGTCAAACCTTTGGTAAAGCTTCCCAAATCAATATTGTGTTTCCCAACATAGCCTGAAAATGCAAATCAAGAGACAGAGAAGAAGGTAACTATTTTTTTTTTTTTTTAGTTTCTTGTCTGAGCATTTTAATTTGAAGAGAACTTTACTAGTGTTGCTAAACGTGAAGACTAATCAAATTAGATAGTTTTGGGTGTTAGTTTATTATTCTTCTTAACTTCCGCTACATTGATTAGTGCTTTAAAATGACAACAGCGCTTTGTTGCTTTGAATTTTTGCAGCATATTAGATCAGCTTTCATCACCATGAACTCATCTGTAACAAATTATAGGCAGTTTAATTTCTGTAAGCTGATTTGGCCAGTACTAATATGTCATAGAGCTCTTTGATCCACAAGTTTTGAAACAAATAAAATTCTTTGTCCTAAATTAAATTTACATAATTTAATTTTTAGATTTAATTTAAAACTTTTAAAGCCAGAGTGCTTTAGGAACTAACATGAGGGGGTAATACTGTAAAAAAGAAGCTCAAAAGAGGTACCCCTGGCCGGGTTCAGTGGCTCACGCCTGTAATCCCAGCACTTTGGGAGGCCAAGGCAGGTGGATCACCTGAGGTCAGGAGTTCGAGACCAGTCTGGTCAACATGGTGAAATACCGTCTGTACTAAAAATACAAAAATTAGCCGGGTATGGTGGCGGACGCCTGTAGTCCCAGCTACTCGGGAGGCTGAGGCAGGAGAATGACGTGAGCCAGGAGACAGAGCTTGCAGTGAGCCGAGATTGCACCACTGTACTCTAGCCTGGGTGACAGAGCGAGACTCCGTCTCAAAAAACAAAAAAAAAGAGGTACCCCAAATAGTTAAAGCATCTACTGGAGAGTCTGGCTTAAACCTTGTAAGTTTATAATGAATGTTATTGTATTTTAAATATCATAGATTAATAGATTTGTGAAAAATATCCAGAATAAGTACACTAATAATCGACAAAACACTCATCTCATATAATTTAAGAACAATAAAGTAAGATAACAAATGTAACTTATTTAGATATATAATTATTTCTAGTTTTAAGTACTGTGGTTAAAGTACTAAGTTTAAATACTTGTGAGGATCACTTAAAAATAGAGTCTGTTATTAATAATAAGTCCCTTATGGTGAATTCTTACAGTGTGCAGATACTGTGCAAAATGTTGCACATAACTTACTCCATATGGTCCTCCCAACAACCCTTTTAAGGATGTCATTATTATTATTATTCCCATTTTACAGATGAGGAAGTTGGAAGTTAGAGATGTTAACAACAAAATGTCATACTCCCGTGCAATATCACAACTGAGATTCAAAATCAGTTCTATCAGATGACAAGGTGCATGTTTATAACCATTGTGCTTTACGTGTACTAATGATCCTTAAACTATAATCTGTGGATGCATAATAGGAGAGTGTGAATATGCAGTCATCTTAATATTTTTGCATGGGTTAAACTGCAGCTTGTTATGGTTGTTGACCTTTGTACATTTTATTCGTGAAGAAACAGAAGTGAATGCATATGATGCCTCCTTTCTCTGCCACAAAACATTTGCCTTTGAAGTCGCCGCTTAGTTAGTTTGGATCATAGTCAAGCATTTAACAAAAGTTAAAATGTAATGCCAAACTTCATTGGTTGGATTTTTTATTAGATAAGGTAGAAATGAAAGCAGCAGGCAATTTAATTAGCAGTAATATTTCAGGGCGAGTCATTACTTTGATGAACTTCAGAGCAATGTTTATGGCTCCTAATTAACCATGTTAGTCATTTGATTGAATAATCACTTTGGAAATGTTTCTACAATTTGATTAGAGTCTGACCCACTCTGATAGTCATAAATTAACTGATATCACTTAAGGATAACATGACTTTACTTACTTTATGGGGATAATCTCTTCTTAGCCATATTTTTTCAGGCTTCTCTGGACTGTATAAAGGACACCAATTTTAAGTATAGACCAGATTTAAACAATGCTAGCCAAGCCTGTCCATTTTAAGAGGTAGATGTTAACTTTATTTACACTAGAGTATAAATAGTCATAGGAATTGGCAAAAACACAATCATATTCCATATATTTCCAATTTGCCATCCATTGCTTTTTTTGAGAATTTAGTTCACAAGTTGGGCCTTTGGAAGTGTAATGGAGATTCTGGCATTAGCCTTATCACATAAGTTATTAATTTATTATGAATTATAAGTCAGTATATCTTAATCATCAATTTGAATTTATTGAGAATATTATGAAGTAAATATAGCAACAAACAAATCAGCCATTTGAATAAGGAAGGTATGAGTGAAATTATCCATCAGATCTCAAGTTTGATGTCAAATATCTAGTTTTCCAGGATTATGCTAATTTTGTAATATGTTAAAACACCTTTATAAGGTGTTCTTTGACATTAAATAGTGAATTTCTCAGAAATGTTTGCATTTCCTTTCTCCTTTTCTCCCACTCTGGGAAGGAAAGACTGCATTTAGTCACACTTATATGTAATAGAGTTTAGCCTGTTTTCCTCTAGCTGCCTCCAGAGTCAGCCAGCTGTTTTTATAGCCGCAATCCAGGTGTGCAGCAGTCAATAAAAGTATTTTGTGGCAGGGTGTCAACATTAGTTCAACAAAATGCTTGCCTCAAAGCAGCTGCTGAGCTGATGGCAGAGTTATTAACACTGTCCCTTCCAGCCCCAGCTGCTTTAAGGGACCTTATGTCTGGGAATAAATCAAAATAGCATTAAAAATTAATTTGAAGTACCATTGGTTAAGAAGCTGGGCTAAAATGGATTGCTAACTATTTGGTAACCTGAAAGATTAACTATACTGCAACCCTATTATAAATGCAGATATCAGGAAACAGTGTTAACTCTGTTTTTTATATGGTCAAAATTATATGCATCGTAACACTTCATATAAAGAAGGCATAGTATAATAGCATAATAAAACTTTTGATAATACATTTTACAGTATTTTCAACTTGCAAGCTTCTAAATATTTCAAATGTTGCTATATTCATAGAATGCTACGGGATTATGCAAATTTATTTGCTAAATGTCCTGGGGCATATTTAAAACTTGTGACCCTGTTTCAAGGACACCATCACATTCATGTGGGTTGCTGTTTGAGCTGGTCTTTAGCAAGGTTTATTTGGGTAAAACTTTGAATTCACCTTCCTGTTCAAGAGAATCAGCATTCACCAAGATATATACTCTTCATTCTTTCATGTGTGGGCCCTGCGTGAAATGTTGATTATATGTTGACATGTTCGCCACATGGGAACCTGTGTCCGTTTCTGTAACTTTTCTGTCTGCACCCTGTCCATTGATAACCGCAGCGTTTCAGCTCCAGACTCTTTTTGACCAATGTTGTTTCCTCTTTCAGAAGTGCCTAGCTGCCACTCCATTTATATGAGGCAAGAAGGCTTCCTGGCTCATCCCAGCAGAACAGAAGTTAAGTTATCCACCATTGAAAATTCCGTGTAAATACCATTCAGAATAATCAGACATCCCAAATATGACGTCATTTAATTAATCATTATATTATTTGGGAAAAATCATTTACGTTCCCTAAGCAATTGTTTTAAGACTATTTCCAAAGTAAAAAGAAGATGTTTCAAGTAGTGCTATCTTGTATTGGGTTGTTAACATGAGTCATATGCATAGAAACAACTGAAAAGTGGATTTCTGTGTTCTTTTTTGCCAACAATCACATCCTTTTAAAATAGAACATATGCTTTATAGATTAGCCCCCTTTACTACTACTGACATGTATCTTAGAGGAATATTTGGTTTTGCTTTTACAGACCTAGTCATAGTTTTGGAGTAAAATACCATCGATTTAAAGATTTTCACCTTTAAATGTTCTGGATTTTTTATTTTTGGACAAATAATTTATATGAATGAGATTTCAGATAGGAGGCCTAGGGAAGGAGTTTTCTCATAGACAGGCTTGTGATAACCGTGGTAGGAAAGCTTTGCCTCTAAAGGACTTTGATACTTAAAAAGTAATGGTAAAAATGATTTCGTCTGGATATAATCCTCACTAAAGGATTTCTGAAATATGTGCATGGTTCCTAACCTAGACACTCTACGTCTCTTTAGTAGGATTGACTTGGATGCATCCTTTTAGGCTAGGTCTAATATTGGTTATTTGTATAAATGATATTAGTAGAATTTTAAAGGGTAGTATGAGATGGTAAATGTAAAATATCTGAAATTAAAAGTTTTGCACAAATGCAATGTAATTATCGTTGCTTCTGTTTGTTAGTATTATATACCCACCATAAAGACCAATAAATTTGAGAAATAAAAGTAAACTATGAAATTTATTTCTGGTAATTACAGATAGCAACAACGAAAGTTCACAGTGAAGGATATTTGAGAGAGGAAATTATTATGAAAAGCTGTTTATTTATTTTGCATTTTTTTCTGTGGACTTATGTTACAGAAAAAAAAAAAAAAAGGAAACTTTTCTTTCCTCTTATCTTGCTAATTGAGTACAGGAAGGTTAACCCACCTAAATATTTTACAAGAGAGTAAGGGGATAAAATAAATCTGTCTCAGAGCATCAGACTAATAATATAATGTGAATACCAGTAATTCACCTTGCTTTTCACTTTTTCATTGAACAATAAAATTTAGATGAATCTGAAAAAGGAGACAATGCATGATAAATCCTTGCCAATGTTTAGGTGAGCTCTGCCTTGAGTTAGCAATATAAATAACTAACTTTTATATTTCACTGTGTACTAGGCATCACTCTAAACTACAGCAGCCCTATAACATGGTAGGCGGTGTTACTGTCATCCCATTTAGTAGAAGACAAAACTGAGGCACAGAGGTTAAAATGTGTGTCCAGAGTCAAGGAATTGAAAGGTGGTGGCAGAGTCATTTTCTATCACAATTTTTATTTTAAATGGTTGTATTTTAAGTGTTTGTGGGCTTCATTTCTGTCATGAATAAATGTATCCCTTTTTCATCCACAGGCTGTATGTTCGAAAAGGGTCCCAGGCAGTTTTATGATGACACCTGCGTTGTCCCAGAAAAATTCGATGGTAGGTTTTACACTTTGCTTCAAGTTTTGATTTTTTTAAAGATGGAGTGATTACCTTCACTTCTTCTGAAAACAGTGGACATCCCTACTTAAAGATTTCTATGCACATAATTCATCATGCACTTAATTTTAGCTAAAGTTGACCTATTACAATTTATCTCTTTCCTTGCCCCAGTAAGAAGCCGTTTCTTTTGCATTACGGGAGAGTTTCCTTTTGGAGAAATAACCAAAGAGCATCATTCTTGCTGAGCTTTGTGTAGAGTAAGAGGGGGCTTTCCATTGCCCTGCTGAGCACATGCAGCTTGTTATTCGAGATTTATTGAAAGCTGATCCTGTAATTAGCAAAGCAGAGCAGAAAATGTGCTACTGTGGATGTACTGATGACTAATGCAACCTCTCTTCTTTTATTGTTCATGAAAAGATGCATTATGGAACACAGGAACAACATAACTGCCCATTTAGTTAGTGATTGTTAGTCCCTCTTTTTTTTTTTTTTTTTTTTCCTGGGGAAGATGTATGTTACTAATGTAGCATGACTTTGTAATTGCTTAAAAGGGAGTTAGGAAAGCATTACCTTTTTAATATCACTTGCTATTGCGATGCAAAGGTCTCAGATGTTAGAAAAGGGTGTCAAACGAAATTGATTTTTTTTTTTGACAAAGGTGACAAAAGTTGGCATCTTGAGGAAGCTTGGGTTAAAAGTAAGCAGTTAATTGGTTTAGTGGATCTTCAGAGTGGTCTTCATATTTCCTGCTTTGATTGTTTGACAGGAAATAAGCAGGGGCCCTCTGATTAGCTGATTGCACAAACTTTGGGGATCTTGGCTATAACAACTTGGGCGCTCTCTGAAGTTTTAAACTGTCATTATTTAAACAGCAAAGTACATGGTCAGATTGCTTTTCAATTTCTAATTAGTTGCTGGAAGACTACCCTATGTTCCCAAGCTTTCTGCTGCCCTTACCCTTCTCAGAAGGGCTGGTAAGTCTAGGGAAGATCTGCTTCTTTATCCACGCTTTAAGTTTCTAAATGCATTCAAGGAAAAAAAAAAAAAAAAACCTATAGGAATCACATTTTTGGTTTTATTCTACAATAGATGTTAGTTTTTAAGCTTTGTGTTTCAGAGGGGTGAACTGTACTATTCAGCAACATTAGCAGACCATCCGAATTCTTAAAATACAGCTTTTTCTCTTGAGACAAAGTATAAAGCCTCTTATTCTTGGAATGACCTTCGTTAGTTTCTTTTGTGTTTGGTGAGCTTCATGTTTTCAGAGATCTTGAAAATTAGTAAGGGCATATAAGGAAGAAAAATATCTCAAAATTATGGATAGAATTACAATATAATCTGACAGGCCAAAGTCACACTAATATTGGGAACTAGCTGCCTTGATTTTTTATTCCCTTCGACTTTTAAATACTCTTAAATTTTATACTAATAAAACATTTTTTGGAAGAGAGTATTTGTCTTGTATTTTATAAGTGATGTAGAACAAGAAGAAAGAAAAATGAGGGGGTTATTTTTTCACTGTGCATGGTCAGTGTGATCAGTCACATTTATAGGCAGAAGCAATATAGAGACTATAAAATTTAACAGTGTTTCACTCTATCTGCATAATTGCTTAGTTACTCCCCCATAAAACAAAAATTGTAAATCTCAGAAGGAAAAACTGAGATAAATAAAACTGTCATTGAAATCAATGTGAAGATACACTTCTATATTATCATGTTAAGAACAAAACAACATAATGATTTTAGCAGCTATTGACTCACACATTTTATATTTTGGTTTAGGTTTTTCAAATGTTGCCCTTTCTATAATTATTTTAAGAGGTACATGTCTCTCTATTGACCATAGGTAAGTTTTAGAAAGTGTGCTATTTGGTGTATTTTATAATTCACACTTAGTATGACTACATAGGCTTAGATATATTTTGTCTGAATTGTTTCTTAGTGGAGAAGAGTAATTTATGCATTAACAGTGATACACTTGCAGGGCCCTAGACACTCAATCCCCAATGTGAGCAGTTCCACATATTTTTGAGACATGTGGCTGCAGATAGAAGTAAATAATCAGAAATCATAAAACTTTGTATTTTTTTTTGTAAAATTAATGTAACTGACCAGATTTATACCAGAAGCATTGCAACACGAACACCTTTATTGCCGTGCTCTATTTAACAGATTTTTACACTAGATATGAATATCAAATAAATGTAACACAAACTTTTTGTGCTTAAAAATACATACTTACAGAAATCTCTCATGCATGCATTTTTAAATTGGACTTTTAGAAAAAAAAATAGCAAGTTAAATTCAAGTGAGTGAAGAACAAACAAGAGATAAAGAAAAATGAGAGAGAATTTCTGTTACCAGTTGAAAAAGTAGTAGCTTTAATAGGAAGGTATATGATGCGGTGAAGGAAGGGTAGTAATAGTAATATGATAATGCAGTATGCCCTGAATTACCCATAAGATTTTCCTTATTTGTGTAAAGTGAAGATTACTTAACTCAGTTTAGGATACTATTAAATTTGCTTTGAAATATTTGCATTAAAATTTTCAATAGTTTGTCATGAGCCGGTCAATAAGTTATTTATAAATTATAGTTTGCAGAATTTAATTTGTATGAATAAAATGTCCAGAGCTTAAGATTGATTATTCCCTCTTCAGTGTTGCTTAGAGCAGTGGATAATAGCATTAACAATAAAAGCAAAGAAGTCTGATTAGATACGATGGTTTTTAAAGAGATCAATTTTAAAAAAAGATAGTTCCACAATATGTTTGTAAGTAAATGATGTGTGTCATTCATATTGACACAGGATTTATTCTGCACCTGTGTTATGTATAGTTATCTGTAAGTTTGTACAGCTTGCTCGTTTATATTCAACCATTTAACCATTTTAAATTCCTTTTCAATGGTAACAATATATTTCATGAAAACCTATAAAGTGGTTGATTGTGGTTTAACCATATTAGTGATTGATTTAAGGTGAATTTTATGTAAAATAGCATAATATTGCTAATAACAGAAACTTAAAAATGTTTTAATTTAGGAGACATCAAACAAGAGCCAGGAATGTATCGGGAAGGACCCACATACCAACGGCGAGGATCACTTCAGCTCTGGCAGTTTTTGGTAGCTCTTCTGGATGACCCTTCAAATTCTCATTTTATTGCCTGGACTGGTCGAGGCATGGAATTTAAACTGATTGAGCCTGAAGAGGTTAGTTTAATAGATTTTAATTAGGGCACTAAGGCATGTTATAACGTAAAGAAACTGACATATTTGATTAATATACCAAAAATGTATTCTTAATCATTTTAAGACTTTAGGGAAACTTTCTGAATTAAAAAGCATGCAAAGATAAAACATGTCTACTTTTAAAATCACCAATATATTGCATGTTCCTTCCAGTTGAATACAATCCTACAAAATTGATGTTGGAGAAAATTAACCAGAGCATCCTTTGCACCTTTATTTAAGAATGTCTGGCTTCAGGGTTTCTCAAAGAGCATCTGAATTAGAGAAAAGAGGCAGGAGGTTTTATGGTCCTTAGGGGAGAGAAACGATGTCTGCAAAAGTCAGCTGGTTGGGGGATGGGCAAATGATTCTTTCAAATTAGCAATCATTATTTGGACAACCTGGATTTTGTCATGAGGGTTGGAGAGGAGCATTTAGAGGCCAAAGTTATGTTCAAAAGAAAATGGAGGAAAAACAGCTGTGATGGATAAAGGGATGTAAGGGCAACAGTGGAAAATTCTCAGCCCTTAAGTGTCTCTTACAAGACACAGGCTTGGTAGAAACATTTTCCTTTGTTAGTGACACTTGTTCCAGGTCAGCTGGACTGGCATACTCCTTTGGAAGGGTGTAATGAAGTTTAAAATGTTGCCATAGCACATAGGAAATTACTAAAATAAGAAGAGCCTGGACAGAGATAATACTGTACGGACAAATGGAAGACACCTTCAACTAACTTCAATTGTCCCCTCCTTCCCACTCCACATGTACAAATGTAGTATTTCCATGAAGAATTTCTCAGTTCAGTTTTTACTCTTCCTAGAACTAGCTTTAGGCTTAAGGCTGTTATTGTTCCTGTAGCATAATTCATCAATAGCATTTTGGACTTCTGATGGAAAGGTAAAGTTAATATCAAGTTGTTGTGTCTTCATTACTAAAGATACTTTCTCTGCTACTATTATAATTAACTTTAGTTTATATCAGCCAAAAAAGCAATGGAAAATTTTAGCTAGCATACCCCTGACTGATTATATTAGGTATTGAATCTAAACACCTCAGTAATATTGAAAAATTCAGTTAGTTTAAAAAAATGTTTGAACCCAAAGTGATTTTCATATACAGTGAACATCCACACCCTTGACTACTGGGTCCATCCATCTTGAATTTTCTGCCTTTATTAAACCATGTATTCAGTTATAATCAGATAATATGCCCTAATTTGATGTCCAGAAGATAAAGTTACATAACGTATTAAAATTTAAGAGATTATCTGACTCAAGAATGTACTGAAAGTATGAAATAAAAGGCACTGGTTAGAACAGTTAAGTCTCCTTCAGTTAAATCTCCTAGCAATACTTTAGTAACACTTGAGGGTTAGTTTTGCGGTATCTCCCTTGCCCCACATCAAGCACGCACACACAGAAGACTCAATGTCCGTATTTGAAAATTCTCATTATCTAGGATGATGTTTGGGTGTTTGAATGCTGTAGTGTGTTTAAAATTAACTTAGCTGTCAAAGAAGATTAGTTTTTCATAGATATACTTAAATGATGTAAGTGAAAGAACCACAAAAATGTTAAGCACTAACAAATTGAGACTAGAAGCATTTAACAAAGTAATTTGAAAGCCCTTGCTCATGATGGGAGTGTGTGCTCTTCACCTCATGGAAGATGTTAATAATCACTGCAAGAGTTGGTTCATGCTGGAACTGAGCACATTCAACAGGGATTTGTATCAGTTAAACAGTTATTTCCCTCCACCTGTGATTAAAATAAACTGAGCAGAGGTTTTTGTTGTTGTTGTTGTTCTTGCCATATATTTGTTAAGATAGGGAACATTACTGAATTATGCCAGTATTTCTTGATCCACTCAGAAGAAGAAAAATTCTTTTGCAAATGATTAAGCTTTTTATGTAGCAACTGTTGACTTTTATGATGTTCAGATTTGAATAAGTAGGAGATTTGACCAGATGACCATTAAGTTTCATCAAATTCTGAGTTATTACGATTTTTAAATGGAGGGAAGAAGTAGAATTACATCTGTTCCATACAACAGACTGACATTTAGACAACTTTTCTGTAGCAGCCTCACAAAGTTAAAACGAGGCTGGATAATTCAGCGTCAGTAGAGCATTTCCAAATAATAACTAACTCAATGGGAATTGTGCAATAAGCACTGAATGTCTCCTAAGGCTTTTGTTCAAAATGAAACATCCCGTATCTGATTGCTGCATTGCTGACTGTTGCTATTACTTCCATCAGGCAATGACTGTAGGGTCTTGTTTAAATTTCTTCTTTGGAAAGGGTTTGTGAAATTTCTTGTCTGTGTGACCTGTGGTCACCCTGTTCCCTCTACTGCCTAGCAGCTCATTGGGTGCCTGTGTCAGCACAATCCGTGAAAGATGTCTCTGAAGCCATCTTATTGGAATTACTGATGGGTTCCATTTCTTTATATTTCAACTTGCAGTTTAAAATGATATTGAGTGAGACTCCAGACCTGCACAGATTATCTGCTCAATGTGTTTAGGGTAACTTTAGAAAACACATGATCTTTAAAGTCTCTTTTTCTGAGATATTTGAGATAATGAAATGTTATTTTTGGATGAGTCATGACTCCTAGGGAATTGTTCCAGGAAACAATTTTTTTTTTGAGATGGAATCTCACTCTGTCACCCAGGTTGGAGTGCAGTGTTGCGATCTTGGCTCACTGCAAACTCTGCCTCCTGGGTTCAAGTGATTCTCCTGCATCAGCCTCCCCAGTAGCTGGGACTTCAGGTGCGCACCACCACACCCAGCTAATTTTTGTAGTTTTAGTAGGGACAGGGTTTCACTATGTTGGCCAGGGTGGTCTTGAACTCTTGACCTCAGGTGATCTGCCCACCTCAACCTCCCAGAGTGCTAGGATTACAGGTGTGAGCCACACTGCCTGGCCAGGAAACAATTATTAACATAGTAAGTCATCTATAAGACTCAGTATAAAAGTCTTTTGATGAAATTGAAGCTTGTTGAGCTGGAAGAGTTACCAGGAATTCTGATAGCCAGGCCCTGATTGTTGTTTTCAGGTTCAATGTTACATATTCGACCATGATATTTTAAAATAAGTTGAATAATGCTTGAACTACTACATTGTCTTATGTAATTTATTTGACAATAAGAGTGAATGCCATTAGTGCTATCATCTTTTTACTCTCTTCGCTAACAACTTTTCATTTGAAGGTGTATTATAAGGAAGTCACTGGAAGTTTTCCCACCATTTTTCCCACTCCATGTTGGAAATTATGCCTTGACTTTGAGTGGTGTTGGATATGGTGGCGATTGGTGGGTCATATGTGAAGGCTGAATGAACTTTCTCAGTTGGTGGTTGGTCTACCTGGTCTGGAATTATTTATGCTGTTAATTTAAAACTTTTGTCTGCATCTCTTAAGCATATTGCTCTCTCCCATTTACCTCGACTTTACTAGGAATATCACACGAAAACAACTCTAAGAATACATTTTATTGTTTTTAAATGTCCATTAATACCCATGATGCTGAGAGTGAACCGGCACGATAAGCATCAAACTCTGTGGTATTTTTGAAAATCATATTTCTCTCCCTAGAGACCTCCACAACATTGTCTTAAAGTTGTGGCGAGTATTTTATTTTCTAGGTGCATCCTGGTGAGTTTCTAGAAAATAATCATTTATGAATGAATAAAGATTCAGAAATTATTGTTTAAGGAGATACTAATACTTTATTTTCACATCCCCTCCAGGTTTGCATGTTGTTCGGCTGCTATGCCTATTAAAAGTTCACTGATGTCCATAGTTAGGTTTTTGAATGAAATATTCTTTAGAAAATGCTTTCATTTATTATTGCCTCCCCCTCCAGGCCCCCCAACCCCTTTTCAATTCACTACTGCTCAGAAGATTTACATTAAAATGAAGTTTATCTTTGGAAAATTAAGATGTACCTGCCACTGTGATTATCTGCTGGGATATATGATGTTGTCCCTGTTACATCACATCTCTCTACTCTTAAAAAAACATACTGATGCATGTCATTAAAGTACTTTATGTCTTCACTCAGAGAATAAAAATTACTGAGAGAGAAGATAGCTAGGATCGGTATTTTTAAAACAAAACAAAAAAAAAAACAGCCCTGGAGAAAGGTTATTACTAATAAAGCGAAGAGAGACAGAATGATCTCTTTGAAAAGCATTCTATTTTAGTATATGTGACATAGCAACAACTTGGAATTTTATGGAAATGAAGGCACTCCCTAGCCCTATTAGATAATGTCCTCTTGCGGTTGCCTAGGTTTGCATGGCAGCTGCAGTTTCTGCTCAGACTAATAAAAAGTGGAAATTAATGAGAGAGTGACTTTAGCTGGGGTAGCAAAAGCAAGCTACACTATTCTGTATCCTGCTTTGGCTAGCCTGGGGTGGTGATGAGGTAGGGATATATATACATTGAGGAGAGAGGATTTTTTTAAAACTCTATTGAAGAACTCTTAGATACATTGCTCCTCCAAAGCCACATAATAAAACGCTCTGAGATTTTTTACTAAACAACAGAGTAGACATTCTGCTTTAGAGATTTTTGTTTGCAGACTCATATACATGGTGACCTTTTCCACTTCCTTCTTATTTTTAGCATCCAATTACTGTTCTCTAAATGAATGCTTAATTCATCAGTTTACTATTGCCCACAGTTTTATTCTGCTGCTGCTTTAGGAAATAAAAAGTATTTGTAGTCGGTTTATTAATTTGTATACTGTTTCCTCTGCTACACACATTGTCACTTGTTCACTCTTTCACATAGTATTGAGCAGGGTATCTTTTTTCCTTTGGCTTATCATAACCTCAGTAAAACACCTTTACAAGGAGATCACTAAGCTGCTCTTTATCCATAGTTTTTGTCTGAAAAATCAAGAAGGATAAAACAGACAGTATATCTCAGAATGAAAAACATGCCTTATTTTGGTGAACTGTAACTTGTTCATTCCTGTTGTGAAAACATTTCCTTATTTCCATTTAATTTTTTATCCAAAACAATAGTGACAAATAATTCCATTGTGGTGCTTCAGTAGGATCACTGCACGCCTGGTTTAAAATGCAAACCAGGCCAGGCGCAGTGGCTCACGCCTGTATTGGGAGCCAAGGTGGGTGGATCACTTGAGGTCAGGAGTTCGAGACCAGCCTGGCCAACATGGTGAAACCCCATCTCTACTAAAATTATAAAAATTAGCCGGGCGTGGTGGGGCCCACCTATAATCTTAGCTGCTCAGAAGGCTGAGGTAGGAGAATTGCTTGAACCCAGGAGGCGGAGGTTGCAGTAAGCCAAGATTGCACCACTGCACTCCCAGTCTGGGTGACAGAGCAAGACTCCATCTCAAAAAAAAAACAAAAAACAAAAAAAACAAAAGCAAACCAGGACACGGGAAATCCAGATTACGATAGCTTTTTCTACTTTGCTTATATCCTTGACTTGGACATTTTTGTGGGTTTGGAAGTAATTAGTTAATTAATTTTTATGAAATATGCTGATAAGTTAATACTTAACACTACAATGTAATTCTGTTTTGGCTGCAGGTGGCCCGACGTTGGGGCATTCAGAAAAACAGGCCAGCTATGAACTATGATAAACTTAGCCGTTCACTCCGCTATTACTATGAGAAAGGAATTATGCAAAAGGTGAGCAGCTAATACAGCATTAAAATTCATTGAAATGTTGCACATTAATCTGCACGTCATACTTTAAACGCCACATACCATTGCATTGCTGAAGCAAGGTTTTCACTCATTTTAACAAATGCTTAGCTCTTGGTTTTGATATTACAAGCCTTTCTATGTATAAATGCATAGACATTGTAGACAAATGTGTAGCAATGTTATATACAAAATAATAGGCTTTCTGGAAGGTCCTACTTTGCTGCACATGGTTAAAAAAGGTTGTTTTAGTATTAATATCACATCTATCTTCAGAAGTTTTTATTGTGGGTTGTCCACAATTATATAATTTTGAAATGCTTTTGTTTGTAGCAATAAAGAGTCTTAGAATAAATTTGTACTTTTTTCTTGTTTTGATTCTTAAAACAGACATTTCTTTTTCTCATTTGTAAAAACATTTTTTTTCCTTGCCTCAAATCTTGCTTAGTTTTATCATCTGACAGTTTGACATCCTAAACCATTCATTAAAAAGTGAATATTTGATCTTATTTGGTTGGTGGAAGTTCAATATATTTTATTTCAAATGAGCTTCCCACAATATTTGGAAGTAGTTTTTTGTTTGTTTGTTTGTTTGTTTTGAGACAGATTCTAGCTCTGTTGTCTAGGTTGGAGTGCAGTGGCGTAATCTTGGTTCACTGCAACCTCTGTCTCCCAGGTTCAAGCAATTCTCCTGCCTCAGCCTCCTGAGTTGCTAGGACTACAGACGCGCACCACCACGCCCAGTTCATTTTTTTTCTTTTTAGTAGAGATGGCGTTTCGCCATATTGGCCAGGCTGGGCTTGAACTCCTGACCTCAGGTGATCTTCCTGCCTTGGCCTCCAAGGGGCTAGGATTACAAGCATGAGCCAATGCACGCGGCCAAAAGTAACTTTTTAAAAAAGAGTAGAGATAAAACAAGTGAATTACATTCAAAATATAAAATTTTTGAAGAAAGGAATAAATAAATGAATGAAGATAAAACATGGATATTTGTTTTTATTACACCCTTTAGCTTTGCATGTGTACAGAAATCTAATTGCTTTGACTATGAACCAAGTTTATGATTTACCTATTGTGAATGTTATAGTTTTATTTTGTATTGTTTGTTTATTTTAGGGTTTGTAAACATAGTTACATGTTATAGATTGTGGCATATTTTTATGTCACCATAGTTATACCGAGAAAAACTAGACCAGTTGCTACATGAAGCTTATTAGAGCAGCGAAAAATAGCACTGTTGACTTTCCTCGAACATTGTCTATTAACAAGAGGCTTATTACCTTAATGCTGTAGAATTTGCTGGCTCAGATGTTAGAACTTCCATGATCCTTAAAAGAAAAGGCTGACTTCCAGTTTTAGTTGCTTCCTGTTTTCTGAATCATGCCTTCAAAACGTGTAACTGTTCACTACCTGCTCCTCCTGTCTTTCTCATCTCAACCTTGGGGTCATTTCTAATTCCTCCCTTTCTCTCAACTACTTTTTTGTAGTCAGATCCTTCAAATACGTTCCATTCCTTTTTTTTCACCACCATCCTCCTAATGCAGGGGCACATCACCTGGGCTGTCACAGATGGTGCTCAGCAGTGTCCCTGGGCAGTACTGCACAATAGTAACACATAAGGCCGTCAGGAATTAGGTTTGAATGCTAGCCTCTCACCAGATTACATTCTTGAACAGATTATTTTCCTAGTAAATGGTGATATTCTTACCTCATTAAAGTTGCTGTTTAAATGAAATAATGTACTTGAGATACTTTACATTGTAACTGGCACAGTAAGAGTCTCCAATAAAGGGGAGCTTCAGTGCATCTCATCTCCTGAAGTCAGTGTAAACCAAGGCATATTTGGTGTATCTCTCTTGAACATCAAGTCTCTTATTAAAGGGAGCATTTGCAGAGAACTAAAAATTATTATGAGACCCCTAATTACACCTCAGCTTTTCCATACAGTGGTAGACAGGGTATGTCTAGGCTGTCATGCCTGGTCTTAAATATTCTCAAATGTGTTCAGACGTGTTACTAGTATCACCACTTCCACATTCCTCTTTATTCATCCTTGTACCCCATATCACATTTATGTGTGTTTTCTTTTAATAATAAAGCAAAATGCTATCAAATAATGGTGGCATAGATACTGAATGATGGATTAAAGTGTTGTTGCTCCTCACGTTTTTCCCCATTAGGCTCTAACTGTCAGAGGAAACTATTTACAACTCATTAATCAGCAAATATAGGAAAGTGCAATGTGATAGACCTTTTGGGGTGTCACTGTATAATGTAAGAAAGGGCAAGCTGTTGGCCGGGCGTGGTGGCTCACGCCTGTAATCCCAGCACTTTGAGAGGCTGAGGTAGGCAGATCACAAGGTCAGGAGATCGAGAGCATCCTGGCTAACACGGTGAAACCCCGTCTCTACCAAAAAATACAAAAAATTAGCCAGGCGTGGTGGCGGGTGCCTGTAGTCCCATATTTGGGAGGCTGAGGCAGGAGAATGGCATGAATCCGGGAGGCGGAGCTTGCAGTGAGCCAAGATCATGCCAGTGCACTCCAGCCTGGACAACAGAATGAAGACTTTGTTTCAAAAAAAAGAAAAAGAAAGAAAGACAGAAAGAAAGAAAGGGCAAGCTGTTTAATGGACATGCAATAGTTCAAGTCTACAGAACTTGTAACTAGCATAACAATCAAGGCCCCTTACAATTTTTATGACTATATTTACCCTTCTCATTCACATTCTTCTTACTGTTTCTTGCCACACACCGACTCCCCCAATGCATTACTCACATTCTTTATTTTTAAAATTATATTTATTTACTTATTTAGAGAAGGAATCTCGCTATGTTGCCCCGGCTGACTCTGAACTCCTGGGCTCCAGCAATCCTCTTGCGTCAGCCTCTTAAGTAGCTGGAATTACAGGTTTTCTTCACTGCACCCAGCTAATCACATTCTCACATGTGTACCATTCTGATGTTCAAGTAAATTCTAGTAGAGTCATTCAGAGGAAAACTATGCTGTTCTTTTTTAAATAGCAAAAACTATGATGTTGAATTATGTATTTTAACAAGTAGGAGAAAATATTTATATGACCATATTTGTTCATTAACGTAAAACTTTGTGGGCATATGTGGTGTATGTGACATAAAAAATTAGAAGATTCGAGAAAAAAAGAACTTACATCTAAACATGTTAAAAAAATTGACAACTGGTAACTAATTTTAGTAATTATGGAAGAAGTAAGAAACAATGGAATAGTGTATATTTACCTTATAGACAATGCCTATGTGTACTTCTATTTCAAAATTTGGAAATGCCTAGAACAATATATACCAATATGTTAATGGTGATTATATTCTGGATGATATAATTATAGACCCTTTGTTTTAACTTAATTGTTAATTTCTAATTTATCCTTCAGTATCCGCATATTACTTCTGAAATTTTATGAGATAAAACATAATTTAAATATCCAGCCATTGAAAGCACAGCTCTGAAGCTATCTCCTTGTTTACTTTTGATTTATCTCCCTGGAAAAATTTCCGTTTTTTCTGTCTGTCTCAGTGTTGCAGTTTGGCTATACTTAATGTACAGCATTTTCCATGTTAGTATAGTATTACTAATAATGGAAGACATCATTTCCCTTGGTTGGTTATCATCCCTTGTTCCAGACTCAGTAGCATTTAACATAGTCCAGCAAATGAAGTAGTAGCCCTAAAAATGTTTATTCAAAAGGAATACAGAAGGAAGCAGTGAGGAAAGGCAGAGTCTTTAAGAGATTGTATAAGCTTGATTGCATGTTACACATTTTAATTCATTTATTACATAATTTCTAAGTATAGCCAATAGCAACCCATCAAAGGAAGTCCAGTACTTAAAGCAAATGTCTCTTCCTCCACAGCCCCAAACAAAACAAAGCATGTTATAAAACACTCAGAGGTATGCAGGCCATTTATTTTATTTTATTTTTTCTCCATATACTTTGAACAAATAAAAAAAAAAGGAAAACTAGGATTTATTATCTCAGCTTTGTTCCTGATAGTGCCTATTTTTATGTTTATGGTCATTTCATCACTTCACCTTTAAGATCTTAATTTTCTTTGTATGAAGGACTAAAGTAAATAAATGTATGCCAGACTCCTCTGTTTATGCCACAGTGCTCTGTGCTGCAGACTTCCATCCCAACCTCGCAACGGGCTTTCTAAGGCGCCATTCCTGTCTCCATTTCACGGAAAAAGCCCCTGAGAGGTAGTCTAAGAAATAGGTCCAAATTCATAAAACTACTAACTGTTCTTTCTTTCAAACCTAGGAACATTCAGATTGTTTGAATTCTCTAAAATGGTTCCTCTTACTTAAATTTAGGGCAAAAGAAAAAAAAAAGTTCTACATTTGAATTCAGAGCAGCAGTGTTCATTGGCAACTGTTCCTTTTCCCCCAAAGATACAGCGATACTTTATAACCCAGGAACACACTGTTGCCCCACATCAAAAATCAACTAGCAAATGCCTTTGTTGATGTACAGGGACATGGAGGTATGGTGTCACCTTCAGCTTTCTAAAATGTCATACTTCTACACACCCATACAAAGTGACTATCAAAGTTAATACAAAGAACTGTATTCATCCACCCACCCGCCCTGGGTTTTGAGAGCATCTCAGCATTGTCTATTAACAAGAGGCGTATTCATCTCACTCAGTTGTTTATAATTTTCTAGGAAAGCATTACTCTTCAGAATTTAAGTTTGGGGTATGTCATACCCTATAAATTATGCTACTTCTTTATTCCAGGCAGTTGTCACATTTCTTTTTCTCATTTCCTCCCTAGGCATTGTGTATTTTAAATTCCTTTCACTTTTTTACACCTCTTACTTCAATTTGACACTTTACACACATCCTTAACTCTGTCTAATGCATCTTGCCTTCATTTTTAAAAGTGATGTACCCAGGATACTGTCCTTTTGATCCATCTTTCATTTAAATGAGGCTATGTATCCTTCCTTCCTTTTCTTTCTTTCTTTTTCTTTTCTTTTTTTTTCCTTTGTGAAAACACATAGTGCCCAAAAAAGAAAAAAAGTAAAGAATCAGTTTACTCTGTGAATCAGTGAATTACTACTCTAGTCTTACTGGGAATAAAGCACATTTTTCTTTTAAATTTTGAATCTAGTTTCTATACCATTTCAGATATGTAATATTAAAAGGGAGATTATACCTTAAAAGTACAGATTTGTAGATACTCCCTTTCAGAATGCAGAAAAAAACTTTCAATATGAAATGCCTGCATAAAATAATGACTTTTTTCAAAACAACAATGTAAGTTTACCTCTATATTAAAACAAGCAAATTCCTGTGCTTTCTAGCTATATCTGGAATTAACTATTATGATTCAAGGTCAACATTTTGCATTTCCCTTGACTGAACTGTAGTTTATTCCACAAAGTAGAGACTTTTTTTTTTTTTTGGATGTGTATTTGCTATTAGTTGTTTGCTTTTTGGGGGCCAGAGTTACCCATCCTTTCTGGTATATTAAACCACGTTTTTGCTTTTTACCTTCCCTGTCCTTCCCCATCTGGCGATGGTGAGGATGGGTTTTTCTCTTCCATGTTATCATCAGGTGGCTGGAGAGAGATATGTCTACAAATTTGTGTGTGACCCAGAAGCCCTTTTCTCCATGGCCTTTCCAGATAACCAGCGCCCACTGCTGAAGACAGACATGGAACGTCACATCAACGAGGAGGACACAGTGCCTCTCTCTCACTTTGATGAGAGCATGGCCTACATGCCGGAAGGGGGCTGCTGCAACCCCCATCCCTACAACGAAGGCTACGTGTATTAACACAAGTGACAGTCAAGCAGGGCGTTTTTGCGCTTTTCCTTTTTTCTGCAAGATACAGAGAATCGCGGAATCTTTGTTTTATTTCTGTTGTTTGTATTTTATTTTTTAATAATAATACACAAAAAGGGGCTTTTCCTGTTGCATTATTCTATGGTCTGCCATGGACTGTGCACTTTATTTGAGGGTGGGTGGGAGTAATCTAAACATTTATTCTGTGTAACAGGAAGCTAATGGGTGAATGGGCAGAGGGATTTGGGGATTACTTTTTACTTAGGCTTGGGATGGGGTCCTACAAGTTTTGAGTATGATGAAACTATATCATGTCTATTTGATTTCATAACAACATAAGATAATGTTTATTTTCTCTGGGTGTCTATGATACAGTTAATTTCACGTTGTGTAAATATCCACTTGGAGACTATTTGCCTTGGGCATTTTCCCCTATCATTTATGAGTCTCTGCAGGTGTACAAAAAAACCCAATCTACTGTAAATGGCAGTTTAATTGTTAGAAATGACTGTTTTTTGCACCTCTTGTAAAAAGGTATTTAGCGATCGCATTTGCTGTTTGTTGTTTTGTTTTGCTTTATATATGACTTGCAGAGGATAACCATAAAATGGGTAATTCTCTCTGAAGTTGAATAATCACCATGACTGTAAATGAGGGGCACAATTTTGGACTCTGGCTCCAAACTGAGTCATAGGCCAGTAGCATTATGTCTATCTGGTGCCACCTTGCTGTTTAGATACAAATCATACTGTCTTTTAAATATTTTGAAGCCCATTTCAGTTAAATAATGACATGTCATGGTCCTTTGGAACCTTCATTTAAATGTTAAATCTGGAATCAAAATGAAGCAAAAAATATCTGTCTCCTTTTCACTTTCTTCAGTACATAAATACATTATTTAATCGATAAGAATTAACTGTACTAAATCACATATTATGCTGTTCTAGTTACAGCAAGCACTCTTTAAGAAAAATATCCAATACACTAAATAGGTACTATAGTAATTTTTAGACATGGTACCCATTGATATGCATTTAAACCTTTTACTGCTGTGTTATGTTGATAACATATATAAATATTAGATAATGCTAATGCTTCTGCTGCTGTCTTTTCTGTAATATTCTCTTTCATGCTGAATTTACTATGACCATTTATAAGCAGTGCAGTTAACTACAGATAGCATTTCAGGACAAAATAGATGACTCAAACCATTTATTGCTTAAAAAATAGCTTACGCCATGCTATGCTATAAGCAGCTTTTATGCACATTGACAAATGAAGAGTAAGCTTCAGCTTGCTAAGGGAAACTGTGGAACCTTTTGTAACTTTTGGTGATATGGAAAATTATTTACAAACTGTCAAAGAATATGAGGAAGTTGCTGTATGACATAGTGCTGGCACTGATAGTATCCATCATCTCTTTTTGGACACTTCTGTGAATGTGATTGGATTGTTTGAAAGAAGATTTAAAGATTTAAAGTTTCAAAGTTTTTTGTTTTGTTTTTGTTTTGCATTTGGAGAAAATATTGAAAGCAGGGTATGTTGTTTCATTCACCTTGAAAGAAACATGAGTCAATGGGGATATAGGATCTCTGAAGAGCTTTCTAAAATATTCAAGCAAGGGACATGAATTTTGTTCCGTCTATCAATAATATCCCAGAAGAACAACCTTTTTAACGAGTCTATAGCAAAATGCAAAAAAAAAAAAAAAAAAAAAGTTCTAAACACAAAGTCAAAATAAACCTATTATAAAAGCATTTCATGATAAGCATGGAAAAGATTGTTTAAAGATGATCCCCCCAGCTCTCCATTTTCCAAAACTACACAGATCACAGCTCATTTCTCTAAATGGAGCAGTTATCGAGAAACCCAAACACCAAAATTGCTACTCTTCACATTTAATCCTACAAAAAAATACTCCAATTTCAAAATACGTATGTAACCTGCGATTTCAGTGATTGTTGTTCATATACATCATGTATTATTTTGGCCCATTATGGGCCTAAAAAAGAAAACTATGCCTTAAAAATCAGAACCTTTTCCCCCCACTATGCTTATGTGGCCATCTACAGCACTTAGAATAAAAACAGATGTTAAAATATTCAGTGAAAGTTTTATTGGAAAGAGAATTGAGATATATAATTGAGATTTGGTGAAATTGAAGGAGAAAATGTAAGTGAGTCTTTAAAATATATTCTGAATGAAAACTGTATTGAGGATTCATTTTTGTTCTTTTGTTTTTTTCCTTTTCCCTTTTCTCCTTTTTCTTCTTTTTAATAGTCTAGTTTTAGTCAGTCAGTGAGGAAGAATTGGGCCATGCGTTATCACAAGAGATCAATGGCAGAAATGGTATTAATTATATAATATTTAAGGACAAACTATATGTTTTGCTATTTAAGGTAGTGACTCACTGAACTAAATACATAATTGACCAACATTAAGTGTATTTCCAATACAGAAGGGTTGAAAATATTACATTATAAACTCTTTTGGAAAATGTATCTAAAATTTTTTAAGTTCTGTTTTTATTCCACTTTTTGGTTGTGTTTTTATGTTTTTATTTTCAGGTAGATTAATAAATCTGGCAGCTGATTTCTGCAAGATTCTTGTGTTTTGAATTTCTCTTTGAATTGGCTACTCAAACATAGAAATCATTCATTAATGATGTAATGTCTTCTCTCAGCTTTTATCTTCACTGCTGTTTGCTGTCTCTTGATGATGACCTGCTAATACCCAATAGATTAATTGCAACGAACACTTTTATATCTCAAATAACTAAGGAAAAATAATTTTTCTTAAGTCCATGAAAAGTGTTTCAAAATAAAAATCCACAAGGCTGACAGTGCAGAACATTTTTCTCAAATCACAGAAGGATCTTGGAGGTTTAGTTTCCTGTAGATGCTGTAACCAATCACCAAAACTTCAGTAATTTACACAAATTTATCTTATAGTTCTGGAGGCAGAAGTTCAAAAGAAGCCTTAAGAGACTAAAACCAAGATGTCCTTGGGTCTGGTTCCTTCCGGAGGCTCCAGGGGAGATTCTTCCAGCTTTCACTTCTAAAGTCTGCTGGCATTCCTTGGCTCCTGGCTACATCACTTCAATCTCTGCTTCCATGGTCACATACTCTTCTGCTACACTCAAATTTCCTTCCTGCCTCTTATAAGGACGCTTGTGATTACATTTAGGGGATGCTCAGATAACCCAGGGCAATCTCCCCATCTCAAGATCCTTAACTTAATGATGTGTGCCAAGTCTCTTTGGCTAGATAATTATTCACAGGTCCTAGGGATTAGGACACGGATATAAGGGGTGGGGGCAGGGCTGTTATTCAGAACACCACATGGAGGAAGACTGTGTAGCAAAGATTCTAACTGATTTACTCAGGAACAATAGAGTTCTGCTGAGGCAGCTAGGATTTGAAAGTACTACAGTTCGTTTTTATTTACCACTGGGATATTTTCCTCTTATTCTGCATAAATAATTTTGAAAGTTTGCTATATTAAAGTTCATCTATTCCACTAAAATGTCTGGTAATCACATCAGGCCTTTAGATTATTCAAATCCTTCCCCAGCCCCCGGGAAAATACTATGTCATGAGAGAGAAAAACAGAAGGTATGATAATAACAGTAATAACAGTTTTTATTTTTCTAATCCAGATTTTATTTTTTAATACATTTCTTTTGGTGGTGTTAATATGAGTTACTATGTGATCTTATTATTTGCTAGTTGATTATTACTTATTAGGTAAGAACAATGTGTAAAATATGTCCATTACTCAAAAGAACAATTGTAAAAATGAGTCAACTTGTCTTTATATAACCAGGAAAGAAATATATTGCCAGAAGTTACAGAATTTTGCCAGATCATAGGGATTTCTAAAATGAGCCACTTTGTCTATCATGCAACCTTTTCAGAGCTTATAATGAGAAAACATTACAGAGGAGAAGGTCATTTGGATGTTTATTACTTGGAATCTTAGAAAACAAAAATTAAAATTTAAAAATAAGAAGTGAGTAAGCTGTTTTCCAGTTGCTTTTTGGTATGGAGAAGAGAGGAAATAGAGTTACAAAAAAAATACAAATTGGGTAAAAGTGATGGTGGAAAAAATATAAAGAAGGCAAATGTACGTATTAAGCAATTCTACTAAGAATTGCAAAAACCAACTTTCAAAAAGATGGTAATAGTTGGACATGATAGTAGAAAATTTAACTCAGTTTATTCAGAGCTCAACTAGTACTTTTAGGACTTCTTTTTTTAATACATGAGACTCACTTTGACATACTTAAGAAAAATAAGCAGTTTGTGGAAAGTATAGTTTAAGATGAGAATTTGATTAGACTAGTGGATATCTTTACAGAAATATTAATGATTTTAGAATTTTCAATTAAAAGTGTATATACCGTAGCTATTGTTTATGGATTCATATGTAAGGTAGGGCCTTTTTTGCATATAGACTCCAATATTCTTATTTACTTTCATTCTAAAATTATATTTATGCTTCTATGGGGACGAACATTTTTAATTCATTTGGTTGTATTAAAATTATACTTATGGTTTGAGAAAACATGCTATGAAAATCGTGATTATAGCAAATTAAATATGCTCAAAATTTAAATCTAAAATAAAAGCCCAGAAACTGAAAATATTGGACTGTCGTGATCACTCTGAAAGGTAGCACATCTAAAACTGATAAATGTCATCTAAATTTTTGACTGCCTCCTAATCATCTTGTCATTTTTAATAGTTTATGACCACGGCACTCAAGTAATGTCTTTGTACTACTTTTCCATATATTATTCTCTTTTTAGATAATTTAGATACCAGGACACCTGATAAATCCTTTTTCAGTTCTATGTTCTAATATCTTTAAATACCTTGTTTCACATAAATCCTTCAATAAATATATCATGGAGAAATTTGGGGAAGGGAACTAACTAAATTTTTTCAGTGACTCCCACATGCCAGGCAGCACAGATAAGTGACTTATGTTACTGCCTCCAAATTGCTTGGTTTTGTCTGATAAGAAACTGAAGCCAATGGCAAAACCAGATTGTCTTTGTGTCAAGATGTCGTGGTCACGGGCAAATCATGAACTCTACCTTTTTTGTGGAACTTGGACCTAGCTGCTTTTCTGATTTAATTTCTAATGACAAAAATATCTATAATAATAACACATTCTGCTGAAACATGGTGTTAATTTTTTTTATCATTTTTGAATAGTCCTTGTAGAAAAATCTAAAAAGAAATCAAGCACTATGTAAACAACAACAACAATAAACTGAGTTTTTTTTAAGTGTCTTTAAGCATTTAGAAACCAAACTGATTGAAGTACCTCTTTGTTTCTTTCTATTGGAGATTGGTACAGCTTAATGAAGAAATAGAAATACTAATCAAACTCTTCAGAAAGTTATATACACTATCCCCATGATTTACATAATTAGACAGGACTTCCGAAAGTAATAGAATTTTCAGAAAACTTTTAAAGCATGGAAGAATCAAGTCAAATGATTCAGAAAAAGCCAAAAAATGGTTTTTAAAATAGAAAGTAAGACTAGAGGCAGGGCACGGTGGCTCACTCCTGTAATCCCAGCACTTTGGGAGGCCGAGGCAGGCAGATCACGAGGTCAGGAGATCGAGACCTTCTTGGCTAACACGCTGAAATCCCATCTCTACTAAAAATACAAAAAATTAGCCGGGCGTGGTGGTGGGCACCTGTAGTCCCAGCTACTCAGGAGGCTGAGGCAGGAGAATGGTGTGAACCTGGGAGGAGGAACTTGCAGTGAGCTGAGATGGTGCCACTGCACTCCAGCCTGGGCGACAGGGTGAGACTCTGTCTCAAGAAAAAAAAAAAAGAAAGAAAGACTAGAAACATAAATTATTGTATGAAAGAATATTAATTGTTTTAAATGATATATTTCTGCAAAGGGGACTATGGCATTCTTGTACACATTTAGGTAACATTAAAATTATTTGTCTTATAGAAAGTTTAATGTGGGAATTTAATTGGCAAGGTTGGTGGGAAGAAAAAAATTAAGATTACACACGTGACATTACTTTTTTTATTTTTATTTTTCTGTGAGACAGGATCTCGCTCCATCACCCAGGCTGGAGTTTCATGCGAACACAGCTCACTGCAGCCTTGACCTCCTCCCAGGCTCAAGTGATCCTCCCACCCCAGCCTCCCATGTAGCTGGGACCACAGGTGTGCACCACTATTCCCAGCTAATGTCTGTATTTGTTACAGAGGTGAGGTCTCACAATTTTTTGGGGTCATTTTTTGTTTTAGTTTTTGTTTTTTTGTAAAGATGGGGTCTCCCCATGTTCTTATGTTGCCCAGGCTGGTCTTGAACTCCTGGACTCAAGTAATCCTCCTGACTTGGCCTCCCAAAGTGCTGGGATTACAGGTGTGAGCCACCATGCCTGGTCATTACTTTTTAAACTGCAAAATACTACTCTACTTTCAATGACCCCAGAAATATTTTTCTTTATTCTTAAAAATGTTTGCAAACATTACATTCTTTAAACAAATATTTTTATACTTTTAAAAAAATGTGGTAAAATGTATATGAAATACTAATCATTTTAACCGTATTTTAGTATACAATTCAGTGGCATTAATTACATTCACACCGTTGTGTAATCATCACCATTATCTATTTCTAAAGTGCTTAGATTTTTTTATTCATAAAGTATTATTAAAAATGGTCAAGGAGACCAGATACAGTGGCTCACGCTTGTAATCCCAGCAATTTGGGAGGCCAAGGCAGATGAATCACCTGATTTCAGGAATTAGAGACCACGTTGCCCAAAATGGCAAAACCCTGTCTCTACTAAAAATACAAAAATTAGCCTGGTGTAGTGGTATGCTTGTACTCTCAGCTACTCGGGAGGCTGAGGTAGGAGAATAGCATGAACCTGGGAGGCGGAGTTGCAGTGAGCTGAGATTGCACCACTGTACTCCAGCCTGGGTGACAGTAAGACTCCGTCTTAAAAAAATTTTTTTTAGGGCCGAGCACAGTGGCTCATGCCTGTAATCTCAGCACTTTGGGAAGCTGGGGCAGGTGGATTGCCTGAGGTCATGAGTTTGAGACCAGCCTGGCCAACATGGTGAAACCCCATGTCTACTAAAAATACAAAAAATTAGCTGGGCATGGTGGCGGGCACCTGTAATCTCAGCTACTCGGGAGGCTCAGGCAGGAGTACCACTTGAACCTGAGAGATGGAGGTTGCTGAGAGCCAAGATCACACCATTGTGATCAGCTGAGAGCCAAGATCGCACCAGCCTGAGCAACAAGAGTAAAACTCCATCTCAAAAAAAAAAGGAAAAAAAAATTAACTAAAAATAAATAAAAATAAAAATGGTCAAAGAACTACTTTTTTGTATATTACAATTAGTAATTTAAATATGCAAATTTATGCTTTCTAATAATTTTAATTAATTGTAATTTATTTACTAATAGGTTGGTCTTGATTTTATACTGTAGTTTAATAGCTTTATTTATTTATTTATTTATTTTTGAGACAGAGTCTTGCTGTGTCACCCAGGCTGGAGTGCAGTGGTGAGATCTCGGCTCACTGCAACCTCCGCTTCCTGGACTCAA